TAGATGTCTGTTGATAATAACTTCTCGTCATTCATTTACTTTGCTTTACGTTCTCTTTGTAATAAGATTGAAGCGTTCAATAGCGGGTGATTTGCGAAAGGGCAATAATAAATCAATCAGATACGCACTCCCGTTAACTAAAATCGCATCCTTTAATAATCTTGATTAGATTGGAGTGTATCGTACCGCGTCACACGACGTATTAGAATGAAAGACATCTTTACGCGGAGAGAGTCACAGATTCTTGCAATCAATAACATCTATTTCTATCAAATCAAATGTGGTTTGATTTATCAAATAAAAAATGCTTCTATCTCATCAATTCGATTCATCAAATGGTACAGAAATTGACAGAAAAGTCAGAGATGGGAAAGAAATTTTTACAATTCTATGCATACACATATATTGAATGCATTTTTATAAAGCAGTACAATGTTTAATTAACAAAAAATTGAAAATTTGATCAAAGTTTCTTCTATATTTTAACGTTAGATATTTCTCATCCTATAATACTGTATTGTATATCTAAGGAGGGAGCAGGAGCAGGAGGAGGGGGGAGGGTTGTATGCCACCTTTTATATTAATCATGAATAATATATTACTTTTAATTAAAGCAATTAAACCATCGGCAATTATCACACAAGCGGCATTCACCCTTGTGACAGACAACTAATGGGCGACGCGGGGTCACGTAGACGTGAAATTAGCATGATCCTGCTAGTGACATTAACAATGGTTATGCTTTTTATGTCCTATGATATACACATTACGCAATATGTTGATACAGAATATAAAATACGTAAACCAGATCGACGGACGATTCAACAGCAATGCAACAAAACAAATTTGCGCCCAATTGTTAACGCGGCGGCCAAGTTGATGAATCTCCGTTGTAATTTCCCAAGTGCCTTTAAATGTCTAATCGATCAGCGAAAGACAATAACAATTACCACGCGGACACGCAGTAGATAACGCGTGCGGATCAAATTTCTCGTTAATTAACTGCCGTACTTGATGGGTTGATTAGAATTTACGGCAAGTTTGAAAACGAGTTTGTCAATAGAAAATGTCGGCCTTGCTCTCAAATGAAAAAAATGTTTTGTACCGGAATGTTTTGATTAAATTTAATTCAAATTGGTAAAAATTAAAAAAAATTTATCCGAAAAAAATTGTAAACGAAAATTGTAGAAGAGATTTTTATATATTCATACACATCTTTTGTGTTATAAATAAAGAATGGAATGACAGGTTTGTTGTCGGTACAATTTGAAAAATTTACGAATCTCACCTTGAAACACTCATAGAAACCTTAAATTCAAATATTAAACAACTAAGAAGCAAGAATATCAAAACCAGTGAAAAATCGATCGAAAATGCGAAAAACTTAAAATATATACGTCTTGTAGCTTCTTTTGTTTAACTCCAATGTAAGTAAATTTTGTTTTTCTAGAATATTTATGTAAATAAAAAAAGAGAGATTTTTTTCATTCCACTTTAAACACTTTACTCCGCTAAAATTGAACGCCCGATCGCGAATAAACTTGTCAAAGTCAACAGCATTTGATCTAAACGTCTCTCTGATACTCGAATCCGTAAGATCTGATTTGCCCAATTTAACAGCGAGTTTATTACCACGCAAGCGAGCTGTCGTGAGACGTTTTTTCTGCGACTTGTATTTGTACTTGTCGATCTGATGCATTACCGCACCCGCTTCCTTCCATCTGTTTGCGTTGATAAAGAAACATTTATGATGCAAAACATTTTGGACAAACAAGCGTATGAAAAATGCAGACGTATAATTATAGCGATATCGACCAAGATTTTTTTGGTGAAATTAACAAAGTTGAGTCGCAAACAGTATGAATACGTACGATTAAATCTTGACGCGATAAATAGAAATAAACGATATTTGTTACTAAGCAAACGGGCGCTCACTTCGAACGAGCGACTGGTTGAGAGAGTTCTCTACATCGACACGTGTCGACTGCAAAAGGGTCGAGTTACTCTTTGGCGAATTACTCTGTGTAATCACTGCGAAACTCTCTCGAAAGCTATCGAATCGCCGGGCTGGAATTCATTGCGGCTATCTCGAAGAATGCAACTCCTTGAAGCAATCGTCGAAGGGTCGCGCCCGGCCAGTGTCGAATCTGAGAATGTCTGGCAACTGAAAATACAACGCTCAATGATCAGATACGGAAATGGCTTCCTCTTAATTTTAACACGCTTGTGCTTCGTATTGTATTTCCACGCGTAGGAACATACCGCATTCCGACGCCGACTACATAGGTTTGTATCTCATGTAAAAGACATTTTGATTTTGAATGGGATCCAATATTATTTATAGAAATGGCTCGATATCTTACATATCTTGCTGGTAATTCAATAATCTTGACTTTGTAAAAATATTTACTTTTATACGTTTTGTGAACAAGATCTTCAAAATTACAGAGTAGAAGGTGAACAAAATTAATGAAATATCTTGTTTCATAATTTGATATTCAAAGCCTATCTATTTCTTTTTATTTGCTAAATGATTTTTGTTACAATAAGAATATTTAAATAATTTTATATTTAATCTGTATAAAAATTTAATAATTACAAAAGCAGATTGACGAAGCTGAAGAAGGGCAATTAGCTGAGCGATATCGATGAAGGTTTGACGAGGAAGAGGAAGATACGCGATGATAGGAAAAGATCTAATTAGATTTCTCACGCGCACACGTGTGCACCGAAGGTCACCCTATCGTCGAGGTAGCCAAGCGTGTCAAGGCGATTTTCAACTTGTCGAGACTAGGTTTTTCCTCGAGAAGGACCGGACTATCTATCTAAGCTTTAAAGTAGCCGCGGTTTTTGGCTGTGTTCAAATGAGGACATTTGGTTTTTGTACTGATCAACATGGATCTTGGAAGAGATATATATATAATAAATTATACATATGTATATATAACGCCATATCTCTCTCTCTCTC